GGAAGGCAGGGGTAATGAAAGCTTTGCACCGATTGAAAGGTTAACAAAATGAAATATATTATTTAACAGGGAACAGAACGGAAGAAGGGAAGGGGTTTAACGGGGTACAGAAAGGAAAAAGGGTAGGGGTTTAACAGTGTAAGGGGATTATAGGAACAACAAAGCAAGGAACATTAAACTTCCAAATATACAAAACCCAAATGCTGTGCTGAGGCTCCCCAGTGCTGGATCTCGGTGGATTGAAGCTGGATGTACAATCCTTGGATGTGGATGGAGGCAGGGAAGAGTCTGTAGATCAGGCCCAGGTCTCCAAGATGGCCACGGCCACGTGCAGCACAGGGAGCAGCAAACAGCAGCAGAGCAGGGTGTCCCGGCCAGGACCCCAGCAGAGGAGAAGAGGAAAAGGGAAGAGAGAAAGGCGTGTCTTCTCGCCCCTAGCAGGAAGTCCTGAAGACAGGAAGAGGGGAGTGGGAATAGAACAGGTATATGCCCCTTTCATTCAGGCTTGTACCTGGTTTAGGGTTTCAGATCTCCACCCACCAGGAGCAGCAGGTTTCAAACCATTACACTTGGCATGGAAGAAAATAAAAAACTCCCAGATAGGAAAAAATGACCTAGTGGATCAAACAGGTGATGAGAAGTCAGGAGATCTTGGTGTTCCACTGTTCTGCTACCAAAGAGCACCACCATGGCTCTGTTGATGCCTCCACCACCTCACTTGAGAACAGGGATGAAATGCTCTGTAATTCAACAACGGGAATTAAGAAGCGTGAAGCAACCCTAAGCAACCCTTTCCGCACTGTGTGGTTGCATCTGCTTTAAAGACCCAAAGCAGAGAAAAAGCAGTCAGAAATTTGGCATGGCCTCCAAGGTGAATGTAGGATCCTACCTCGATGGCAAGACTAAAGAAGGAAACGGGTCCTTTTTTCCCATAGATGACAAAGATTCATTCGTGTTCTTAATGCTGTTCTTCCGTGTAACATTTCTGACTAGGACCTTCTCCAACCCGACTCATGTTTGGTTTCTAGGTACAGGTTAAAGGAATGGGAAGTTGCTTTTGCAGCTATTAGCAGCCCCCTTCCCCTCCCTCACAGCTGCTGTATAGCCAAAAAGTTCTCCAGCTCTGCCTCCTGAGCTTTGGCACCAAACTTGGCAGATTATTGCCTTAAACTGGTCTTGACATGAATGAAAACCAGCTGTTTATCTTTCCCTCCTTTGGAACTGGCTGTGCAGGACACTCCCCCTCCCTTACATCTGTCACTTGGTCCTGTCCTCCCTGTCACCTCATTCTGTATCTGCTCATACTGCTGCTTGCTTTTATCCTTCATTTTTATCTGGCATGGCAAGCTCTGAAATTCCAGCTTGTCTGGCCACATGTCCCATTTAAAGTCTGACCCATTCCTAAACACCTTGAAATAATTTCCATGTGGGGTTCTAGAAGACAAGGCTGTGCTGCCTTTTTATTTAAGTTTCAAGGTGCACTAACTGTGCCATATTTATTCCTTTGGGGAAATTAAGGCACAATGAGATTTGATACAAAGGATAGAGCCTGTGCCAGAACCAAGATTTAAATTCTGGAGCAATTGGGT